AAACATGGTCATTTTGATAATATTAATTCTGCCTATCCAAGAGCAAGGTAGAGCTTTTCATATTCTAAGGTATTCTTTGATTTCTCTCTTTAGGGTTCTGTAGTTTTTATTGTATAGATTTTTCAGTGATTTCAGTAAGTTGATTCCCAAGTATTTTATGTTTTTGAGGCTATTGTAAATGGCATAATTTTTCTTATTTCCTTCTCAGAGGATTTGTCACTGATATACAGAAATGCCTTTCATTTATGGGTGTTGATTTTAGAACCTGCTACTTTGCTGAATTTGTTTACTAGTTCTAGAAGTTTTCTGGTGGAGATTTTTGAGTCTTCTAGGTATAGAATCATGTCATCAGCAAATAGTGTTAATTTAAGTTCTTATTTTCCTATACATATCTCTTTAATTTCTCTCATCTGTATAAATTCTCTGGCAGTGTTTCAAGGACTATGTTAAATAGACATGGTGAGAGAAGGCTTCCCTGTCTTGTTCCAGTTTTTAGAGGGAATGAGTTCAATTTTCCTCCATTTAGAATGATGCTGGCCTGGGGCTTAGCATAGATAGCCTTTACAATGTTGAGTTATTTTCTTGTTATCCCTAGTTTTTATAGTGTTTTGAACATAGAGTGCTGTATTTTGTCAAATGCTTTTTCTGCATCTATTGAAATGATAATATGATTCTTATATTTAAATCTATTGATGTCATGAATTATATTTATTGATTTCCATATGTTGAACCAACCTTGCAATCCTGGAATGAATCCCACATGATTATGTTGCATGATCTTTTTGATATGTTTTTGTATTCGATTTACCAGAATTTTATTGAGAATTTTTGCATCTACGTTCATTAGAGATATTGGATTAAAGTTTTCTTTCTTTGATGTGACTTTGCCTGGTTTTGGAATCAGGGTGATATTGGCCTCATAGAATGAGTTTGGCAGAACTTCTTCTTTTTTTATTTCCTGAAATAAATTTAAGAGTGTTGGTATTAGTTCTTCTTTAAAGGTCTTGTAGAACTTGGCTGTGTAACCATCCAGTTCTGGGCTTTTCTTGGTTGTTACTCTTTTGTTGGGATCTTCTATTTCATCACTTGTTATTCGTCTGTTTAAATTGTGTGTATCTTTATGTGTGTGTGTAATGTCTATCATTATGATTAACTTTGGCTTGAAGTCAATCTGGGCAAGTCTTATGTCTTAAGAAATTCATTGATGCCTTCACTATCTTCTATTTTATTGGAGTATAAGTTTTCAAAATAATTTCTAATTATCCTCTGTATTTCTATAGTGTTTGTTGTGATATTAACTTTTTCATAATTTATGCTGGTAATTTGAGTTTTCTCTCTCCTTCTCTTCATTAGCATAGCTAAGGGTCTTTCAATTTGACTTATTTTAAAAAAAACAACCTTTTGTTTTGTCAATTTTTTCAATTGTTTGTTATGTTTCAATTTCATGATTTCAGCTCTAATAATAACTAATTTTAGTTATTTCTTGCCTTCTACTGCTTTTGCTGTAGATTTGTTCTTCTTTTTCTAGGGCTTTGAGATGTAGTGTGAGGTCATTTATTTGTTTTCTTTTTCTTCTTTTAAGGAATGAATTCCATGCAATGTATTTTCCTCTTAGTACTGCTTTTATAGTGTCCAGAGATTTTTGACATGTTGTGTCTATGTTCTCATTTACCTCTAAGAATTTTTTTAATATTCTCCTTGATGTAACCTCTGTAACCCAATGTTCATTCAGTAGCATATTGTTTAGTCTCCAGGTAATGGAGAAAATTTTATTGTTTTTTATTGTTAATTTTCAGTTTCACTCCATTATGATTTGATAAAGTGCATGGTAGTATCTCTACTTTTTTGTATTTGCTAAGAGTTGCTTTGTGGCATAATATACGGTCTATTTTAGAGAAGAATCCATGTGCTGCTGAGAAGAAAGTGTATTCACTTGATGCAGGTTGAAAAATTCTATATATGTCAGTTAAGTCTAAGTTATTGATTGTAGTATTGAGTTCTATAGATTCTTTATTCAACTTTTGTTTTGAAGATTTATCCAGTGGTGAGAGAAGTGTATTAAAGACACCCAAGATCATTGTGTTGTGGTCAATTTGACTCTTGAACTTGAGAAGAAATTGTTTGATGAACAGCTGCTTCAATGTTTTGGGCATATATATTTATGATTGTTTTGTCTTGTTGGTGTATGGTTTCCTTGAGCAGTACGTAATGTCCATTGTTATGATTAACTTTGGCTTGAAGTCTACTTTATTTGATATGAGGATGGAAACCCTGCTTGCTTCCTCAGTCCTTGTGAGTGATATGATTTTTCCCAACCTTTCAGCTTCAGTCTGTGTATGTCTTTTCCAATCAGATGAATCTCCTATAGGCAGCATATAGGTGGGCCTTTTTTTAATCCAGTCTGATAACCTGTGTCTTTTGATTAGTGAGTGTAAGCCATTAATATTCAGGGTTATTATTGAGACATGGTTTGTATTTCCAGGCATATTTATTTATTATTGTTATTTAACTTGACTTGATTTTCTTTTTTGATTGGTTTTTCCTTTAGGGTACTACCTCCCTCTGCTGATATTCATTGTTGTATTACATTTCCTCTTGAAGGAATATTTTGTCAAAGATGTTTTGTAGTGCCAATTTTCTAGCTATAAATCATTTTAAACTTTTGTTTATTGTGGAAGGTTTTTATTTCATCTTCAAATCTAAACCTTAATTTTGCTGGATATAAGATTCTTGGTTGCCACTCATTTTATTTTAGAGCTTGATATATGTTGTTCTAGGGTCTTCTAACATTCAGGGTCTGTGTTGAAAAATCTGCTCTTATCCTAATTTGTTTTCCCCCTATATGTAATTTGATTCCTTTCTCTAGTGAATTTTAAAATTCTCTCCTTATTCTGCATGTTAGGCATTTTTATCATAATGTGCCTTGGTGTGAATCTGTTGTGATTTTGAACATTTGGCTTCTTGAATTTGAATTTCCAATTCATTCTTTAAGTTTCATTGAATAGATTGTTCATTCCTTTGTTTTGGTCCTCTGTGCCTTCCTCTATCCCAATACATCTTAAATTTGGTCTTTTTATGGTATCCCATATTTCTTGATTGTTCTGCTCTGGTTTCTTACCATTATCTCTGTGTGGTCTATGTTCTTTTCAAGAT